TGAATTAAAACTAACAGCTTCATACTCCATGATATGAAACATACAGTTGACCTGACGAATGTTCAATTCTTCTGTCGTCTTACCTGTAGGTTCTGTGAAGTTTCAATTTCTTTCAAGTCTGGGGAGAAGCTGCCTTATCTGTTTTATGATGGGTGAAAAAGGTTACAATTCGCAGATTGCCTGGCACCAAACTAGGGATGCCTTCACCTGTGTTGACTCCCCACCATCTGTCACTCAGGAAGGGAGGGGGTAGGGAGTGAATGATCGAGGAATACCTCAAATAAAAAGGTAAAGGGGAACTCCGTGTCCAACTCTGATGAGCAAGTTTGCTACACCGGCGATCGGCGGCAATCGCTGACAGAGAGCACAGCTGCAGTAGCTGTGCTTTCTGTCAGTTCCCTGACAGCTCCAGGACACGCTGATCGGGACAGAAGAGTTTCTCTGTCCCGATCAGCGGTGTTCCCTGCAGTACACCCCCCCCGCCCCCTAGTAAAACACTCCCCTCACACAGTTAACCCTTTCCCTGAATAATAAACTTAACCCCTTCCTCCCCAGTGCCATAAGTACAGTGTCAGTGGTTTTTATTTTTGCACTAATCACTGTATTGGTGTCACTGGGGATGTCAGTGACCCCAAGTCAGTACCCTCCAATGTCAGAATGTCCGCTGCAGTCCCACCATAAGTCGCTGATCGCTGCCATTATTAGTATTAAAAAAAACAAAATCCCAGTATCTTTTCGCCATTTGTAAACGCTATAACTTTCACGTAAACCAATTAATTTACGCGTATTGGTTTTTTTTTTTAGCAAAGACATGTCGCAGAATGCATTTTGGCAGAAATTTATGACTAAATTTGATTTTTAAATTTTTTTTACTGGACATGTTTTATAGCAAAAAGTCCAAAATATTGTTTTTTTTCCTCAAAATTGTCAGCCTTTTTTTTTTTTTTTTATAGCGCAAAAAAAAAAAACCGCACAGGCGATCAAATACCACCGAAAGAAAGCTCAATTTGTGGGAAAAAAAATGTAAATTTCATTTATGTAGCGTATTGCATGACCGCGCAATTGTCTGTTAAACTAGCGCAGCGCTGTATAGCAAAAAAATGGCGTAAATTGCAGTATCTATACCATAGTTTGTAGACGCTATAACATTCACACAAAGCAATCAATATACACATATTGGGATTTATGGAGCAGAATACATTTTGGCCTAAATTTATAACCAGCTTTGAGTTCACTATATATTTTTTTATAGCTGAAAGTAAAAAATATTGTTTTTCTTCAAAATTTTTGGCCTTTTTTCGTTTATAGTGTGAAAAATAAAAAGCGCACAGGTGATCAAATACCACCAAAAGAAAGCTCTATTTGTGTGAAAAAAAGGACGTAAATTTCGTTTGGCTGCAGCATTGCATGACCGCGCAATTATCAGTTGAATTAGTGCAGCGCCGAGTAGCAAAAAGAGGCCTGGTCATTAAGGGGGGTAAATCCTCTGGAGGTCAAGTGGTTAAATACCACCAAAAGAAAGCTCTAGTTGTGTGAAGAAAATGATAACATTTTGGATTAGGTACAATGTTGTATGACCGTGCAATTGTCATTCAAAGTGTGAGAGCGCTGAAACCTGAAAATTGGCCTGGGCAAGAAGGGGGTAAAAGTGCCCGGTATGGAAGTGGTTAACTTGTACCTAACAGGTAAGCTCATAATAAGGCTTACCTGTAGGTACTGTAAATTTCTCCTAAATGCTCACCGATTAGGAGATGTTTACCTTTGTAGAGCACTGGTGCATGCACTCTGAAGGAACAGCATACCCATTCCGTTCCTTCAGGCTTCAGTTACATTCCTCACTGTATACAGAGTGACGTCAAGGCGGTTTGACCATTCAGCAGTACTGGAGGAGAGCTTCGTTTTAAGGTACGTTTCACAGTCTACTAGTGTGTGATGCATACTAGCATGTTATGCCTTTGTCTTGCAAGGGAATTTTCTTTTTCTTGCGTTTACTACCGCTTTAAATATAACATGAATCTGAGGTCCTAAATGCTGTAGAACAGGTTTTTATAGATGATATCCCTGTACTTTGCTCCATTCAGCTTTCCCTCAATCTTGACCAGTCTCCTGCTGCTGAAAAACACCCCCACAGCTTGATGCTGTCACCAACATGCTTCACTGTTGGGATGGCATTGGGCAGGTGATGAGTGGTGCCTGGTTTCCTCCTTTCATCAGACCAAATAATCTTTTTTCTCACAGTCTGGGAGTCCTTCAGGTGTTTTTTTTATAAACTCCAAACGGGCTCTCGAGGAGAGGCTTCCATCTAGTCTCTCTGCCATAAAGCCTTGATAGGTGGAGGGCTGCAGTGATGTTTGTCCTTCTGGAACTTTGTCCCATCTCCACACAGGATCTCTGCAGCTCAGTCAGAATGACCATTGGTGTCTTGGTCACCTTTCCTACTAAGGCCCTTCTCCCCTTATTGCTCAGTTTGGCCAAGCGACCGGCTCTTGGAAGAGTCCTGGTTGTGCCAAACGTCTTCCATTTTAGAATTGAGGCTAATGTGCTTTTGTGAACCTACAGTGCAGCAGAATTTTTTTTTTTTTGTAGTCTTCCTCAGATGTGTACATTGCAATAATCCTGCCACTGAGCTCTTCAGTCAGTTCCGTTGACCTCATGGCTTTTGCTCTGATGCATTGCCATCTGTGAGGCTGGACAATGGACTCCAGTTAAGGTGTAGAAACCTCTCGGCAACAATCGAGACAAATAAGAGGTACCTGACCTAAATTTCAAGTGTTGTTGCAAATGGTCTAAATACTTGTGCCAATGTGATATTTCACTTTTTCCTTTTTCACACATTTGCATAAATATGCATTCTGTTTCCATTTTGTCATTATGGGGTACTGAGTGTCGATTAATGAGAAAATTAATGTAAACAACTGTAGTATCAGGCTGCAGCATAATAAAGTTGAAAAAAGTAAACATTACAAATTAAAGGAACACTTTGAAAGCACATCAGATCTCAATGGGGAAAAATACCATGCTGGATATCTATACTGAGATGGACTGGGTAATGTGTTAGGAATGTAAGGATGCCCCATCGTTTGATGGAAATTAAAATTATCAACCTACAGAGGACTGAATTCAAAGACACCCTGAAAATCAAAGTGAAAAAATGATGCAGCAGGCTAGGCAGTTTTGCTGAAATTTCATTGCAGCAACTCACAATGGTACTCAGTAGTTTGTATGGACCCCACATGCTTGTATGCATGCCTGACAACATCGGGGCATGCTCCTAATGAGACGACAGATGGTGTCTTGTGGTATTTTCTCCTAAATCTGGACCTGGTATCACTGAGCTCCTGGACAGTCTGAGGTGCAACCTGGTGGCGTCGGATGGCCCAAAACATGATATCCCAGACGTGATTTAGGTATTGGATTTAGGTCAAATGAGCGTGGGGGCCATTCATTGGTATCAATTCCTTCATCCTCCAGGAACTGCCTATATACTCTCGCCACCTGAGGCCGGGCATTGTCATGCACCAGAAGGAACCCAGGACCCACTGCACCAGCATAGGATCTGACAATGGGTCCAAGGATTTCACCCTGATACCTAATGGCAATGAGGGTGCCATTGTCTAGTCTGTAGAGGTCTGTGTGTCCCTCCATGGATATTCCTCCCCAAACCATCACTGACCCACTACCAAAATGTTCATGTTAAACGATGTTACAGGCAGCATAATGTTCTTCACAGCTTCTCCAGACCTTTTCACTTCTGTCATGTGCTCAGGGTGAACCTGCTCTCATCCATAAAAAGCACAGTTTGCCAGTGGTGGACCTGCCAATTCTGGTGTTCAATGGCAAATGCCAATCGAGCTCTATGGTGCCGGACAGTAAACACAGGGCCCACTAGAGGACATCGGGCCCTCAGGCCACCCTCATGAAGTCTGTTTGATTGTTTGGTCAGAGACATTCACACCAGTGGCCTGCTGGAGGTCATTTTGTAGCGCTCCGGCAGTGCTCATCCTGGTTTTCCTTGCACAGAGGAGCAGATACCGGTCCTGCTGATGGGTTAGGGACCTTCTATTGCCCTGTCCAGCTCTCCTAGAGTAACTGCCTACCTCCTGGAATCTCCTCCATGCTCTTGAGACTGTGCTGGGAAACACAGCAAACCTGGCAATGGCATGTGTTGATGCGCCATCCTGGAGGAGTTTGACTGCCCTTGAAACCTCTGTAAAGTCCAGGTATCGCCTCATGCTACAGGGATGTTTGATTCCTATCACCCGACGCCAGGGACATATAGTTCCAGGCGCTGGGCAGGTAGTTTTTTTCTATCTTTAGCCCTGCTGCGGGTAAGCAGCAGAGCTCACCTGTCAGGTGAAGCAATCAGCGGCAGTGCTGCCTCCGATTGCTTCCACGCAGTGCCAGTCTCTCCGCACCCGCCCCACCCCCGGGAGGTTTCCCTTGCTCTGCTTGCCCATCTGCGGCTAGAGGGGAGGGTGAAGAGGGGACAAGTCCACTCCCCTCCCCTTCTTTTGCTGACCCAGAAGTGACGTTACGATGTCACGTCCGGGTCCCCGTTGAAAGATTGTAATGCAATCCCCAAGAAAGAATGTGAAGCAGTGGGATGTGCACTGCATTACATTCAGTGGAGCAAAGGGGAGACATGCAGGGTCTTTTAGACCTTGGATGTTTCAAAGAGAACCTGTCACTCAAAATCATCACATAGGGGACTTTAATGTTAAAAAATGAAAGTTACACCCAAGCACATACCACCCCTCCAAAAAAAAAATTGAGACACCCACATATACGCACGTACAAACGTAAAAGCACACGCTTGGTCGCCTACACATGAAACTGTCGATTGTGGTATACATGTTACATATCGCTGCACAGGCCAGAACGAGAGCAATAATTATAGCACCAGACCTCCGTAACGCTAAACTGGTGACCTATAAGGAGCTTTAAATATGTTGACCTATAGAAAAGATAGGGTACTGAAGTTCGTAGCCATTTCACGAGTGCGCACAAATTTAAGATTTGTCAAGTTACTGTATTTTTCGCTCCATAAGACGCACCTGACCATAAGGCGCGCCTAGGTTTTAGAGGAGAAAAACAAGAAAAAAAAATATTCTGAACCAATGGACTGCAGACAGTACAGGAAGTGACCAGACACTGCGGACACAGTACAGGAGATGACCAGAGACTGCAGACAGTACAAGAGATGACCAGAGACTGCGGACACAGTACAGGAGATGGACCAGAGACTGCGGACCTTTAGGGAGGGAGGAGGAACGGATACCTGAATTTGACAGGTACCCGCTCCCACTTCCGCGAAGTTCTCCTTCCTATACTGTGGGCACCCGACTTTGACAGACGAGTGCCCACTGCGCTGCGCTTTGTGAATGGCTCGGCGTCTTTTGGGACCTGTCATGTGTCCCAGAAGACATTGGACCATTCACAAAGCGCAGCGCTTCTCGTGCATGCGCAGTGGGCACTCGGTTGTCACAGATGCCCGGGCGGGAAGAAGCCGACGCGGGAAGACTACAGCGCTGGACCGAGGAACAGGTAAGTTCCCGCCGCAGAGAACAGCCGAGCAGCCGGCCCGATATTCTGACATGGTGGTGGCGGAAATACCGGACCGGCCGCTTTATATTCACTCCATAAGACGCGCTGACATTTTCCCCCCCTTTTTTGGGGATAAAAAAGTGCGTCTTATGGAGCGAAAAATACGGTAGATATCTATTTACTCTGCAACCTCATCTTTTATATTTTACAAAAAAAGGGTAATTTATTGCTTTTTTTGTGCCCTAAAATTAACTTGCATTTTTTACTAAACAATTTTACTTTGTGGCAAAATCGTGCTACATAAAAATTAAAACTACAGCTATTTTATTCTCCAGGATCCCTGATTTCAGAAAAATATCATTTTAGGGGTTTTATGTAATCTTCAGGCCTAAAATGATTTTTTAAATGTGTGCAAAGATGCAAAAATGGCTCTGGCAGCGAAAGGGATAACGGATAAGCACAACACTTCCTTTCTTTAGGAGCAGCCAATCGGTGTTCATCACACTGCAAGGTCTCTCTCCTCCCTGCTAGTCCCTGGGTGCGGTGCTGGAGATAGGGAGGGGAGGAGGAGATATACAGCGCAATGTTAAAAAAAAAAAATGACACGTTTAAGTCACCATAAAGCCTCTTTTGTTTTTAACCACAAGCCTACAGGGCACTTATACCAATTTCCAGCTTTCAGCGCTGTTGCACTTTGACAATTGCGCGGTCATGCAACACTGTACCCATATGAAATTTTTATCATTTTTTTGTGACAGAGCTTTATTTTGGTGGTATTTAATCACCTCTGGGTTTTTTATTTTTTCTTAAACAAACCAAAAACCACTGAAAATTTTGAGAAAAAATGTTTTTGTTATAAAATTTTGAGAATAAGTGATTTTTCTCCTACACTGATGTGTGCTAATGAGGCTGCAATGATGGGCACTGATAGGCTGCACTGATGTACACTGATAGGTGGCACTGATGGGCAGGCATTCGTAGGTGGCACTGATGGGCATTGGCAGGCATCACTGATGGGCACTGATATGCGGCACTGACAGGCACTGATAGGCAGCACTGAAAGGCAGCTCAGATGGGCACTGATATGTGGCATTGATGTGCACTGGTAGGCACTGGCATGTGGCACTGATGATGAGCACTGATGGACACTGACAGCTGGTACTGTTGGGGCTACACTGATCATCAGTGCTCTGATGATCAGTGTACATGGCCCCTCCGCGGAATGCCGATTACCGGCTCTCCTCTCCTCTCAAGCTGTCAGCGTGACAGCTTGAGAGGAGAGAAATGCAGATAACCAGCATCTTCCTGTTTAGAGCGCACCGCTGATTGCCTCGCTCCGGGAGCCGCGCATGCGTGGTTAGAATGGGAGGACGTTTATATGACGTCCTCCCAGAACAAGAGAACCACCTTGCGTCCGTCATATTAATATATGGTTGGCGGGAGGTGGTTAAAAGCCCCAGACATTCCTAAACTCACCTCTGATTTAAATATGGTCTTGGTTAATTTTTTATTTTTTTTTAATCTGGACAAGTAGATAGGGGCCCCGATTTTAGTTCATGGACAAGTAGTTTTTTCAAAAGTTTCCAAACACCTGTGCTACCAATAGTGACACTAACCCTATCCAAAACTAGTGAAAAACGGTCAGAAAAAGATGTCAGTGACCTCCACCTGTAAAACCATTCCTGTTTTATTTATTTCAGGTACTTGTATAGCGCCATCAATTTACGCAGCACTTTACATATGTATTGTACATTCACATCAGTCCATAACCCTCAAGGGGCGTACAATCTAAGGTCCCTAACTTACATTCACATACTAGGGCCAATTTTGACAGGATCCAATGCACCTACCAGCATGTCTTTTGGAGTGTGAGAGGAAATCGGAGTAACTGGAGGAAACCCACGCAGGCACAGGGAGAACATGCAAACTCCAGGCAGGTGGTGCCGTGGTTGGGATTCGAACCAACGACCCTAGTACTGCCAGGCGGAAGTGCTAACCATTTAGCCACTGTGTTGGGGGTCGTTTCATTGTTCCCTATCTAGTGCAGGTGCGCTCTTTCATCAGGCAGTGCCTGATGAAAGAGCGCACCTGGACTCATCTCGTCCTGCACATGCTTAGGAACGCATCGCATTTTGATGATGTCAGACGCCACATGTGCTGATCCCGGACATCTTGGAGACTCTGCCAAGCTCCACAATCCATGCTGCATATGCACAGCACCCAGCAGATGCTGGCAGACACCTTGGAGATTCCACCAGGTGTACCATCCATGTTGCACATGCACAGCACCACCCGCTGATGGACTCAATCGATCTCCTCTCTGGATCAGGCACACAACATCATCTGGCTACAGACGTCTCACCCTCTTACCTTTGAGCCTGTTTTTATATTCTAAGATGTGAGTTACTACTTATCTTTCTATTAAATACCTTCACAGTACACACTTGGAGGCGCTGAGTTTCTTTGTTTCCCTTCTGCAGAGTTATGCTTCGCTCCTACGCAGCTTGCCCTTAGTGCCTACTGGACTACCTTCACCCCTGCCCATTTGGAACTCATCAAACATACATGGACTGCCACACCATGCACCTGTTATCCCTTTTGTATTTCCAAGCTTAGATTGCAGAGGGACGAGAACCAAGGCCTCTTTGACCAAAACGGTGCCGCAAGATTGACACTGACCTTTTGAAACTCATCTTCTGGGTTACACTGGGGACCAATCGGATAGGCGGGAAGGCATAAAGTAGTGTCCATCCCACTTTGATAGGACATACAGTATCTCACAGAAGTGAGTACACCCCTCCCATTTTTGTAAATATTTCATTATATCTTTTCATGTGACAACACTGAAGAAATTAAACTTTGCTACAATGTAAAGTAGTGAGTGTACAGCTTGTATAACAGTGTAAATTTGTTGTCCTCACAACACACAGCTATTAAAGTCTAAACTGCTGGCAACAAAAGTGAGTACAACCTAAGCGAAAATATCCAAATTGGGCCCAATTAGCTATTTTCCCTCCCCAGTGTCATGTGACTTGTTAGTGTTACAAGGTCTCAGCTGTGAATGGGGAGCAGGTGTGTTAAGTTTGGTGTTCTCTCTCTCACTCTCTCATACTGGTCACTGGAAGTTCAACATGGAACCTCATGGCAAAGAACTCTCTGAGGATCTGAAAAAAAGAATTGTTGCTCTACATAAAGATGGCTTAGGCTATAAGAAGATTGCCAAGACCCTGAAACTGAGCTGCAGCACGGTGGACAAGACCATACAGCGGTTTAACAGGACAGGTTCCACTCAGAACAGGCCTCTCCATGGTCGACCAAAGAAGTTGAGTGCACATGCTCAGCGCCATATCCAGAAGTTGTCTTTGGGAAATAGACATATGAGTGCTGCCAGCATTGCTGTAGAGGTTGAAGGGGGGGGGGGTCAGCCTGTCAGTGCTCAGACCATACGCTGCACACTGCATCAAATTGGTCTGCATGGTTGTTGTCCCAGAAGGAAGCCTCTTCTAAAGATAATGCACAAGAGAGCCCACAAACAGATTGCTAAAGACAAGCAGACTAAGGACATGGATTACTGGAACCATGTCCTATGGTCTGATGAGACCAAGATAAACTGATTTGGTTCAGATGGTGTCAAGAGTGTGTGGCGGCAGCCAGGTGAGGAGTACAGTCAAGCATGGTGGTGGGAGTGTCATGGCCTGGGGCTGCATGAGTGCTGCCGGCACTGGGGAGCTACAGTTTATTGAGGGAACCATGAATGCCAACGTACTGTAACATACTGAAGCAGAACATGATCCCCTCCCTTCGGAGACTGGGCCGCAGGGTAGTATTCCAACATAACGACCCCAAACATACCTGCAAGACGACCACTGCCTTGCTAAAGAAGCGGAGGGTAAAGGTGATAGACTGGCCAAAAGCATGTCTCCAGACCTAAACCCTATTGAGCATCTGTGAGGCATCCTCAAACGGAAGGTGGAGGAGCTCAAGGTCTCTAACCTCCACCTGCTCTGTGATGTCATCATGAAGGAGCGCAAGAGTACTCCAGTTGCAACCTGTGAAGCTCTAGTGAACTCCATGCCCGAGAGGGTTCAGACAGTGCTGGAAAATAATGGTGGCCACACAAAATGACACTTTGGGCCCAATGTGGACATTTTCACATGGGGGGTATACTCACTTTTGTTGCCAGCGGTTTAATGGCTGTGTGTTGAGATATTTTGAGGGGACAGCAAATTTACACTGTTATACAAGCTGTACACACTACTTTACATTGTAGCAAAGTGTAATTTCTTCAGTGTTGTCACATGAAAAGATATAATAAAGTAGTTACAAAAATGGGAGGGATGTACTCACTTCTGTGAGATACTGTAGTTCTGTAGGGGCCTTGAGTGCAACTGGGCCCGTTAAACTGCTGGGATTGTGGTCGTCATCCAGCCCATCAGCCTCATGGCTTCCCTTATTGAGCAGTCCGAGGATACCAGGAACTTCACTGCCCCCTGATGCAGGTTCTGGATTTTTTCCTCTGTCAGGAAAGTTCTTGAGTTCCCGGAGTCTAAAATGTACCCCGGGTAAACCAGCTTCTCTGATGAATTAGCTTTGATTTCTCGACATTGATAGTCCTGTCTGTTTCTTGGAAGTAAGCTTTCACAATTTCTAGGCTCCTCGTTGTTGCATCTGCCGTGTTTGCAAAAATTAGAAGATCGTCCAGGTAAG